CGTAGGGTTGACCCTAACTCGAGAACAACACCATTTCTGTGTGACGCGAAAGTTCACGGGTACTCGGCGTCACAGGCATTAACTCCAAATACTTTGGGCGGTGAAATCTCTTGAGAACTTGCCTCAGGGTTAGCCCTGCATTCAAAGCGAATGTTCCGATTTTCCGGGTTAAAGTGTCTCTATTGTGCGATTTCCCAGCGCCCAAGTTCATAGCTGGGAAGAATCTCGCAACGCTTCGGGAATAGGAAATAAAAATGTGCTGTCTCAAGTCCAGATTACATGCCAGGCATCTACCAGACTGAACCGTTTGATGGATAGGCTTCGACTGTGTTTACTGTCGCCTGACCGACTTGGGTGGTGTTCTGGGACTGGGCTATGTATACCATGTCAGAATGTATCGTTTTATCCGTTCGTGGTGTTTCCAAAATTAACTTTTGTCATTTTAATAAGTTTTGTTGTTTGTCAATTATGTGTAGTTAGCAGTGTTCTAATATCAGATGTGGTCGATAGTGGAGCGCCAAGTCGATCGCCAATCGGAAATCGTCCATCAGTGCAGAGCTTGTTCAGCCAGCTGGAACTCAACGATCATGATGGCATGTGGGTGAAGCATGAGATTTTCTAGTTTTTGTTTGATTAAACACTTGTTTGTTCATCAATAGCTGCATGTTTTGTGATTTAAATAATTTCTGTATCACAGCTGAGAGAAAGTCTTGCTGGGAAGGCCCGATCCACATGTGGGAGGTTATTTGGAACTATTTTCTTCTCATATTCTAGAACCTTTTGCCAAGAAAAATGTAAAAACTGGATGATTTCTCTTGCACATCAGTAGAAATAATGGTCAGCAGTCCATTTTTCCCCTGCCCGACAAGGGGGAGGAGTTGTTTTGGCAAAGAGGTCTGAGTCGTGGAAGAGAAGATGTGATTTTTCTGGAAAAGTGAAAAAATTTCGCAAATTTGCAATTTTAAAAGTTAATACACCACCCACGCCCGATCAGCTCGAATTCTCTTTTGGGGTCTTGTGGGTGGAGTTGGAAGTGTGTCCGATTGGACCAGGTTCAGCAACGCGCTATCGACACTATTTAACGGGAGTGGGAGATATATATCTGAAATCGGTGGGTGCAACACGCTTGACCTTTTAGGGATACAGAGAGAGAGAGTTTAGCTTATCGCGATATGTGAATTAACGTACATCATCGTCAGAAACTATCGTGTTGTGGCTGAGCAATATATTGAAGTAGGTACCGGCCATCCATCTGCCCTTCCCCCCTGCCACCCCCACCACCCCACCCAACCCACGTATCCATCTCATTCCTGCCCGCTTCTTTAAGGAGAATTATCTCAAACTCCAACTATACGATTAGATCTGATTGTCAAGAGCTTAAAGTCGACTCCTTCGCACTCTCCCCCCTCCCACCTTGAGATAGGTCATTCGTCTGCTCCTCTATGGATCTTGTACGACTCATCTTGTGGCTCTTGTACATACACATCTGACCATAGTCGCTACATAAACTTTTTTAGACAAGTCAATCGAACCATGCGATGGAGCTGAAAGGTAATCTCGGAAATCTCCATTATGTTTTTAGGACTCACTCCATATCCCAAAAATAGATCTCTGTCGTTGTGGACACACAGTGCTAAACATTTTCACGGCGAGTACACGAGCCACACCCTTCTCCCCGAAATCGCAGTAACGTTCTCTGCCATAACGAATTTTTTCATTACTAGCTACTGGCCCTCTGTCCACTATGAGTTCCCCTTAGACGGCTTTTCTGCAGCGCTACCTACGAATACTTTGTCATACCTACCAGTCAGTCCCTTATCCTAATACTCCGTCGAGCGGGACCAAATATATATAGGGATATATATATATATATATATATATATATATATATATATTATATATATATATATATATATATATATATATATATATATATATATATATATATATATATATATATATATATATATATATATATATATATATATATATATATATATATATATATATATATATATATATATATATATATATATATATATATATATATATATATATATATATATATATATATATATATATATATATATATATATATATATATATATATATATATATATATATATATATATATATATATATATATATATATATATATATATATATATATATATATATATATATATATATATATATATATATATATATATATATATATATATATATATATATATATATATATATATATATATATATATATATATATATATATATATATATATATATATATATATATATATATATATATATATATATATATATATATATATATATATTATACTAAATTCGTATAAAATACAAAATATG